GACTAATCCAAGCAAGCCTGGTCCCCCAGAGGCCCTTCCAGCTTGGAAGAAACAATTCGACGATGGAATTGACAATTATGATCACTTGGATAATGATAATTGGATGGATGCAACGACGAGGACGTCGTTCTTCGGAAGGGGGGGGTAATGTCACGGTTATAGAGTCACGTGCCCGCTACAAAATACTCACGTGACCGCTCGCCTGTATATATGCCCTGCCTTCCGGCGCTTCCTTCCTTTCTTTCCTCTTTACCTTTAGATTCTAAGAGATAGCCTAATCGATTCCTCGTCTACGTACTTGAGTCCAACCGTGCTGTCACACTCACTCTGTGTGAGGTCACGTGGGTTGGTATGGTAAATGGAGTAAGATAAGGCAGTTGTATTTGAAGTCAAGAATACTAACGAAGTTGAGCACAAAGCTCCTATCTACGGCAGAAGTGCCAGTCATATATACTGCCCTTCTAGTGTTGGGTCAAGAAGGAGCGCAGGAGCTCCTAGGAGCCCCGCCCGCTCCTTAGTGCTCCACCACGTGACTCAGAGTCCACCGAGGTGACTCAGCGAGTTCACGTGCACGTGGTCGTGACAATAATATTATTATTATTTACGAGAATAAAAATCTTCTTCTGCTTTTTCCATACGTCTCTGAGCAAGATAACCTTCGGGATACTCCTGAAATTGACGCAAAAGGCACACTTCATCAAAATCTTTTACCTTTGCAAGCAACTTCTCCCACGCCGCTCCAGGAGGATCCATTTTCGCCCCACATGCGAGAAGCGATTCAGCAACTTCCACTTGATCTTTCGCAATAGCTGCTTGCAGTGCGTTCCCATACACCCCTCCTTTTTCATTGGTATTAGCCCCTGTGTCGAGCAACAGCTTCACGATGCTTTGGCGTCCCCGGCATACAGCTGCGTGAAGTGCAGTTCCGGATCCTTTTTGCGCATTCACATCGGCGCCTCTTTCTATTAATAAGCGTACAATGTTCTCTTTACCCGCTTCAGCAGCTGCGCGAAGTGCAGTTCCAGATCCTCCTTGTACATTTACATCACCGCCTCTTTCAATTAACAAGCGTACAGTGCCTTCTTTGCCCGCTCTAGCAGCTGCATAAAGTGCAGATCCGTAATTCAGATCTAGTAAGTTTACTTTAGCGCCTTTGTCGAGTAAAAGGCGTACCATTTCATCGTCTCCTTGGGATGCGGCTGTTTGAAGTGCAGGTACGACAGCATAACTTTGAATGTTCAAGTCGGCGCGGTTGTCGAGTAATAAGCGTACAATGTTCGCATGTCCCGCGGAAACAGCTGCATGAAGTGCAGTTCCCTTAGAATGCTCGACCTCGTCCATGAAGCAACCTTCCCCGATGAGCATTCTTGTGAGTTGCAGGCTACCAGCCAGCACAGCACAAAATAACCGTGGGCGAATCTCTTTGTCGGATTTTTGCCATTTCGGACGCTTAGAATTTAACATGAGGTATATCCCCAGCAGACTTTGAGCTCCGCGATAAGTTACTAGCAGTGCTTGCTTCGTGAGAGAGGCATCAATGTCTTCACTGGGAATATTTTCCAGATGCTTAATCCAGTATTTGCCTATGTACTCCCATAGCTGAAATCTTCGTATGGTCTCTTTTGTCGGTAGCGTCGTTTTGCTCACATGGATGTGGTAGGCCAAACATGATTTTGTGATATGAAGGTGTGCCGTGGTTTCTTCCAGGCGGAATGTATCGAGGGAGATGCGATTTGAGACCAGATATTCCTTGATTGAAAAGTGCGCCAGTCGGATTTCCAACCAGCCATCGAGCTTCTCAACCTTTGTCACAAACCCCCGTAGATATCGAAAAATTGCTTCCGGCTGAAGCAATCTGTTTTTATCGTCGAACTATCAGATGAATAGTGCGTATGTCATAGGAACAATGTGGGCAGAAAAGAGTAGTATGGATAAGTCTCAAGAATCTAAGTGAGAGTGCAGGAATGCGCATATATATAGGCAACAGAGTAGCCCTTGAACTAGTCCTAAACCAGAATAAAAGTGGAGACAACCGAATTCCAACTGACATTCCAACTGACACGAACGGTACATCGCTCTGATGGTCAAGTACGAAGATTTCGGCGACTTCCTGGATGGACAGCGGCCTAAGCGAGAATGCGAGCCAGGTTAAAGCATTAGCAACTTGTTTGCTTTTACGAAGATCGATATCAACCAGCATTCGGTGGTAAGTTTCGTCTAGACCGGCAGGAAGGGAACCAAGTGCTTCCTGAATTTCGACCCGTGTTGAGAGCTGTTGGAGAGTGTCGATCTGACAAGACACGTATTGAAACCTGCAGACCAGTGGTTAGTTCATATACATGGAGTATTTCCTTTCTAGGGTTGGTATATTCAGATCTCCTATTATTGGAAGGGATTTTCATAGTTTTCGTGGACTTACATCCCATCCGCATTCTTGAATAACATTCGTTCCGCCTCCTGTTTTGAATCTTCGGGCCAGATTCGAAAGTCTTCTGACGCCAAAGCTTTTTCGACGAGAATACCAATATCGGAGTCCATGGATATCTTCCAGGCACTGAGCTCAACATCGAAGTCATCGGAATTTTCGGGGCAGTCAAATAAGCTCCCACTAGGGAGAAGGGGTTTGATCACTGCTTCGATATCCTCCTCTCTCCGGCTAGTACACAGCAAGTGCAGGTTACTTGGCGATTGTCGATGGATGCGGCGGTGGGATAACAAAAGTTTCTTTCGCTCGTTATTCTGGAAAGGGCATTCGTCCAATGCATCCACGAGCAAAAGCACGCTGGAAAAACCATCCATGGTAACTAGCAGTGTCTTTTCAAGTGTCTCAAGATCTGGAGTGTGGCCTTGCGTCTGATAGTTGGAAAGTTCCTGGACAGCCTCGGGAATATCGGGACAACAATAACATAATTGCTTGATGAAAGATGTAATCATTCCACGAGTGGTTTGTTTCTCCTTTTCGTTAAAAGTGAAATAGAAATATGCCAGTGCTACTGTTGGATCCTGTTTCCGAACATATTCGAGGTGATGGATGACTGTAGAGCTGGGTACATTGTCTCAGGACGTAATACAATTATTGGTGGCCGAGAAAGCATACCTGAGAACCGATTTTCCTGAACCCGCTGTAAGCAATGTCAGTAACATTCCATCAATCATATGAAAATAGGACTCCGTACGCTTTTCATTGAGCCACATCAAAGAATTCTCTACAGTCTTCCATCTCCGAAAAACATTGCTCCGTAAGAGCCAATCGCCCGTTCCGGCTTGATGCTTGTCGCGAGCTGAGTTGAAGTTTGATGACGGGTCTACGCAGCTCAACCAGTTGAGAAGGGAAGCACGGTCCGAATCCTTTTGAGCGTCTTGAATCGCTTCTCGGAGTTTAGAAATGTCATTCAGACCTGTTCTCAACATAGCCGCAGTTTCCGTGGCTTCACGGGCGATTGTAACTGCAGCAAGTAAATCAGCCGTCTGTCATCATTCACTATCTCAATCACAACATTAGAGGCAAAAGGATATAATTTTGCTTTGTAGCAACTAAATTGCAAGATTCTCAATTGGCGGCGGTCGAAGCCACAGGACCATCCGGTACCGGCTCGAGCTTCGCGAGTCGAGCTTCAAGTTCATTGTGCTCAACTTCTTCAGTCGTTCCACGCTAGGGTGTTACTTACTTAGGTATTTGTATGTATACTGGTATTCTAGGAGGATTGGATATAGATCGGGTATTTAGAGCAAAGGGATAAAAGGACTTGTACGAGCTTTAGAATAGGTCGTGGGCTTTGTACAACAGCTGATTATCTTTACACATATAGTCATTGCAGGTGGATAAAGTCAAAGCAATGTGTCACACTTTGGGGCAACATTGGCTTCTGGATTTAGATTGTATGTGTTTCAGAGTGCTTGGCACAATTAGATTGTAGATATGAAGTACTTACAGAAGTACTCACAGAATGAACAAACGTCTAAACACGATTTGCAGAGTGGATCAAACCGATTGCACTAGGCCTCAGACGAGGAAGTATTCAAAGAAAGCAAGTCCATTTCGTAGCACACAGCTAAAACCATCGGGAGCATATCCGGAGAGACAAGAAAAAGTTGTTATATCAGCCAACAAAATAAGAATTGTCCATTTCTGACCTTCAGTTTTTATGCATTCGGTGCTGAGCTGCCAGCTGCTCTTCCAGCAGTGACCTCTGGATGTGCCTCATAAACGCCACTTCTCTGCGGAAGTCCGTTCACATGGACTGAAACCTCCGTAGTGTTCACGCTGACCACTAGACCGGGCACATCCTCACGAGGGTGTTCGGAACCATCATGCAAGGTGACTCGCCAATGGAGGTTCTTTGTGAGGTACGGAATCACGTCAGCCTTATTCATAGAAGGACAATTGCCTTTCTTGACTTCCTGTATTGGTGTCAGTGACTGATCTGCTTACACATATGAGGAGTGTAATTTAAGAAATGATGAATAAAATGATCTTACGAAAAGAAGTTGAGCTGTGAGAGACACGATGCCAGAGATCTGAACACCAGCCTTGGCATCTTGTTTGCACTTTCCACATCCTGTCTCGCTTGCGGCGCCTGGAGTTGTATTTCTTCCAAAAACTAGAGAAAATCAGACAACACATAAAGTATTGACATCAAGCCAAGACTTACCCATGAAAATGCCAGCAAGAGCATCCAGAGTATGCCAAGTTGTCACATCTGGATTGAAGTCACCAAGGAAGATATGTACGCGATAAGATTCCCCAAGGCCATGTTTGTAAGTTTTGATAGTGGTAATGTAGTCTGTGTAAGTGCATGAACTGCCAACTACAGGCTGCTGGCTCTCCGTACCAGTTGCGGCTGATGTAGTCGTGGTACTTGTACCATTAGCAATTGAATCAGCGGTCGCCCCGTACAAGTTCTGGATACAATTTCTGATGTTCTGCTGATACTGTGTATCATTCTGGAACAACCACTTTTGGATCTCAGGATAGGAATAATTGAACGTTTCTGTTGATACGACTGTGTTGGGAGTCCAGTAGGTCTTACCAGATCCATCAGTGAAAGGCGAGAGTTCAGTGTCGAGATTATCTTCGGTATCAGCAAGCATGACAAAGGTGCCTTCGAAAGATGGATCTGCTTCGTCGAATGTGTACGAAGAAAGATTGAGGGCTTGCCAGATAGCAAAAATGCGATCAACGTTCCTAGTTGCCAGCATTAGTGACTGTTCTATGTTGGAAAGTACACAACATTTCCAAATACAAACATCCATTTTCGGATGAACTTATAGTCCCGGCATGAAAGTTAGGATTGACTCACGCATGATGTAGCCAGAAGGCTGGATCGTGAGCAGCGTAGTCAAGATCTGACATGTGCCCTCCGTTTCCACCGACAGTGCCGTGGATGCTATCATGAACATTTTCAAGAGAGCCTTCGTCACCGGCGTCATTGCTAATGAGTTGATGATTGGAGAAGGTCGTATAGTTTGTGTACTTGGGATCAGTGAGAAGAGTGTTGACAGTATCTCTCAGGTTGGGATAATTTGTTTTCATTGACGCAGTAACTTGGCTGTCTTGAGAAGTGGCTGAGGGCGAGCTCGGGTCAGACGGATAGCGAAGAGTGGTTGGCCACTGATTGTACTGCATGGAATGTTAATTGGATTCACAGACTGGAAGTCTCGACGTACTGGAACTGTAACTCCGGACTGCGTCGTCCCGGTTGAGAAGTCGCCGGGAATGAGAGGATTGAACGTGGTGGAATACAGCGGATTTGCAATCTGGGTTACCTGACCACCTGACGTCGGAGTAATCACGTTGACGTATTGAGTGCTGACAATCGCGGGAAAATATCCTTCAGGGTCGTCCGCATGTTGGGTTGCCCAGTCCCAATACGGGATGCGAAAAGTGGCGGCAGCCGCTGTATATCGAGCGCGAGACGTCGACGGGAATTGAGCTGCGATGTTCTGAACTATGCTGTAGAGCGTCTGCTCGTACAATGCAAGGAATGGACGATGCCAAGGGGCGAAGAGAATGGAAGTATGGGTACAATATCCTTGCCAGGACCCTTTAGGGTTGGCATTTGCTACGCCTCCCCAGATCTTATACGGACGACCGTGGATACCAGCGATACCATAGAAAGAGAGGTCAGAAATCTGATCGAGCTTCTTGAGGGCATCAAGACCGAGGAGATAAAGGTTCCATTGATCGGTGTTCTTTTGAAGATTGCGGATTTCAAGCCTCAGAGGCACAGAACCTGCACGAATTAGCTTTGTCGAGGCACTGGCAGAGAACATGAAGAAGGATGTACCATCGATAGCAGTCACAGCGGGTTTTGGGGCCCCGGTGATCGGGTGATTTGAAGTCGCTACAGTTGTAGTCATGATTGCGATCAAGCTGCGAGGCACTTTGAGCAAATTGAGTTCTGTGACGTAGAAAGAATTCTGGCTATGTGAGGGATATTGAGAGAAATTGAGAAGATCTTGGATGATAAGTGCTGGGAAAGAAAGGGAGTGCGACTCGAACGAGGTATGGACTTGGCTAATGTGGTCCTACTAAACACAGAGCTTAGAAACAACAAAGCAAGTACGACAATGCAATATACAAGTCCTGTGTTATCTAATGCTTACTTGTGGAATCTCCGAGGATATAAAGTAGCTCCACGGTATGCCCGACGGGAGCTTGGGAACAGTTGCATAATGGGCAACTGGCACCAAGAGGTCAAGTCTCGAGTACAACAGCTTTGAGACTTAGGTGGCAAAGGGTAAATGACCCTCCATGTTACGCATTTCGGAATTTTTCGATGTTCTGCACTGCCTTGACTCCGTCTTGGCAGTCTTTGCGTCCTCTGAGATTCGAGCAACACAACAAACCGATCAAGGTCATACACCGCGAAGAGTGTCAAATACGGAGCAAAAGACGGTGAAGAAAGGTACAACCGGGAATCACGCGTACTCGCGGTTGGATTTCACAATAAGAGGCAAGAAGCTCAATGCCGGTCATACATGAAACGCAACCCACCCGATGGGGACTCCTCTGTTCCTTGATGTCTGCAACTTTGGGTTTCGTGAGAGCTGAGAACTTCGTACCACTGGAGCCAAGGTTTGACAACAATGGCAAGGAGATGTGTGATTGGGTGACTGGCTGTTGTGAGCAGAAAAGTTCTCCACCCGTGACAGTACTCTGTGTCTATCCGAGGTGCAGCAGCGTTGTCAGACGTACCCATAAACTGTAGCAGACAAGCGAAGGCTACAATTCTTTGTGTTCCACGATCTGCCATGTCTACAGATTTGGACCACCTGCACAGACAGTGTGTTGGAGACGGTACGACGAGAATAGGGCTGAAGCCCATTGTCTAAGCGGCAGGAAAGGACGGGCGTTGGCTTTACGAACAACGATTGATTCTGCTGAACATTAGTTCTCTTTCCAAAGCGGTGGGGAGGCAGCAACGACTTACCGCTAAGAATCTATAAAATGTTCGTATAAATTATTTATTATTATAAATAGCATAAACACAGTATTTAAGAGCTTCCCTCGGCTACGCTCTACGGGCCTGAGGTATCCACTCGCGTAGCTCGTGGCCTCAGGCACCTACGATCGTAGCTTACTCAGCTCGTCCCGCCGGAGGCGCCTTATCGAGGGTCCTGGCGGAGCTTGCTAATATAATGTTAACTAGAATTTTAAATATATTTTAAATTTGTCTTTATTTTAAATTTTAAATAATCGGAGCAGTATTGCTATTTTATAAAATATTAAAATAAAAATATTAAATAAAAAAATATTTCGTTTAAATCGTAAATGTTACAGCACGCACTTGTCACAGTTCTGGTGTGACTAGTGGTTGTGGTCATGTGATTGTTTCAGCTAGTGTTTGAGGACCCAGCTTATCTGCCCTCAACACTCTTCCACTCTTTTAGTTCTTTGTCTATTATTCACAGATT